AATATTTGGCCACTATTTGGACTATGCAATATTTTTGTCTCTACATATATAGTAAAGAATTTGAATTAGTAATCAATTATCAAGCTTTAAAATAGCTTTTAAACAATTTCTAATCTACCAGTAAACTTGTATAGTAGATTATGATTGCTACAGAATATCTGTGCATAATTTATTATAGAAAAGATCTCATACATACTAACATCGATACCCTATCAAGGATTTCTCACCAGCCTTTGTAAGAAAAAAGAAATTATTAGTATTAATGTCAAATTGATTTATAAAAGAAAGTTTAATAAATAATCTATTTCTCATTTGAAAAAGATCTACAAATTTTTATAAATAATTTTTACTATTGAGCCAAATGTGGAACACTTCAATTTAAACCTTATTTTTACTAAGTAAATTACTTTTGGGCTTCTAACAAAAGTTGTAGAGCTCATCAAAATATATTTAATAGTAGTAAAAACATTAAAATCAACCTTGTGGTTCTTGAAAAAATCTTTAAAAAACATTTTACTAATATAAAAATTCTTTAAAAAAATCAAATTTTTTTAAAGAAATTTTATATATAAGCAAGAAGTTTTTTAAAGATTTCTTAAGAACTACCAGGCAGATTTTAATATTCTTACTACTATTAGATACATCTTGATGAGCTTTACAATTTTTGTTACAGCATATAAAGTAATATTAATTTTGATAAAAAAAAAATTAACTATTATTTTTGGTTGTTTGTTTAATATACATTTAGCTTGTATAAATTTTTTCAATAATCTGTTTTTCTACTATATATAAATAAAATTATTTTAAATTCTAATATTTAAAATTAAAATTTGAAAACAATTGTGATTGCTTAGAGATTAAACTTGTTGAAAAAATCTTTATTCAGATATTATTAAATTGGTTTCAATCAATTTATCAACAATTATTTTACTAAATGCTTATTTAGCTGACATCACATAGGGTTAGAGTTAAGCATTTGATTAATTACAGATATATATTTTACTAAATTTCACCTAGCATGATATTGGCTAAATAAGCTGTTTGTGAAGTGATTGTCAGTGAAATTATACGGACCCTTATTAAATTACCCGGGTTATCCGAGTAAGTTAATATATACTGTATTTCAGGTAATCATATAGTAACAATTTCTACCCGAGTTCAATCCCTATTTTTGCTTTATTTTATTTAAAAGATGAATAGATAAAAATTATAAAAACATAAATACATAAATTAGATTTGTTCTTTTATATAAAAAATTTTAATTTACTTTAATGAAGATGAAATAGGCTTTTTTTAAAAACTAATTTAGATGATATCTATATACAGTACCTATTTTAAACATTTAATTTGCTATAATTTCTAATCCTAACCCTAATATATAATATCGGACTAATCTGGTCATACTTATACCCATACTCAGTCTAAAATTCGAATATGCGAATCGGTTGATTTCAAAAATCAGGAGATTTGATTGGATTCGCACATTCGAATTTTAAACACTGACCGTACTGATCAGCTATAATCCCTAACCCTAACGCTAATTTGGTATAGTTTTTTTTGATCTGCTCATCCATACCATGATGGTCTGCGAAACACCTTATATAGTGTATACAAGTCAATTTTTATTAAAAACTATACTAACTAACTCTGGTAATTCGTACCATACTACGTATATAATCTGTGTAATCTGGACTATAATGTATAAATAGAATTTTTATAAACAAATCATCATTATTATGAATTGTTGTAATACTAAATTTAGTTGTGTTACTGAACAACCAGGTTATTGTCGAAACTTGTGCATTTGGAAGTGTGACAATAAGACTTTAAAAAGAAAAGTATGTATATTAATAGCCGAAATAGAAACACAGGAAGTTAGATATGGCCATCGTTTAAAATAAACTAAAACTCAGCGTTTTCAAAATCTTATAACAGCTTGGTCTAAATCAAGACAAAAAAATATTAGGATAAAGAAATTAAATGTCGAAAATAAGAAGGGATGAATTCAAACATATGAAAAAGGCATAATTAGATTATGAAAATGATACACAAAAAAATAAATGACGAATGGATATTCCGAATAAAGTTGATAGGTACATACTTGTTATCATAACAAGGATATTTTAAAAATAATTATGCATTAAATAGGAGAATATAGCTCGAGAAGCCGGCCTCACTGTAAGCAGCAAGTTTAAAAGAACAATGTATGCGCAGACAAAGACGATTAAAAGCAGGTTATAAACCTTGAAGGATATATACGTATGAACCTCTATCGCTATATAAATTCTTTCTAAATGCATTATAAAAGCTCTATATATTTTGCTCTACGTGTGCAAATGGACACCAGGGGGTGCATTTAGGGAGGTTTGACTGTACTGAACTGTACGTACATACTTCAAATGTCCTACCTAAATCAGAACAGACATTTGACGATTTATTATACAAATTAACTTATTTAATAAACGAGTAAATTTAGAATTTGAATTCGAATCGAATCATCCAAAGATTTATCGTCACGGTTATTATAATGTCCACATGTTGCCAAAAATGGGATCATTCAGTTTAAAGAAATAGACCCGTAGAATGTATATATTTTAATCTCGTGACAAATGATGATTGACAGTGTACTCTTAAGCTAGTACTCTTAAGCTAGTACGTACTCTTAAACTATTTATGTATTTATTGAGAGCAATAATTGAATTAATCTAATTTAATTGATTTTAATGAAACACTTTAATGTTAATAAGAAAGATAAAAATGATTTCTGAAGTTACCTTCGTTAGGTAAAACAAAGGCCGTCATGTAGCAATCGAGTTAGATTGGTAGATTAATTAAAAATGTAGACCTTGATTGTCTGAATAGTGGTCCAAATATATAATATACAAGGTCCTTTTGATCGGTACTACTTTTGTAAGACCACCCACGTGGGACCGAGTAGGACTTATTAGTACAGGGTGAATTTTGTAATGCAGAACACGAATCAATCCAGTGGAATAATATGTAGTTTGAAATTAGTTTTCTGTTTTATCTATTTATACACAGATACTTTTCCAAGATTGGCAATTTTTCGAGCGGTAGGCTACAAAAACCTCTAGTCGCAACTTACTAGAGGTTACATAGCACTCTGGTCACCCATCGCTTGATAGAATTTCTTTTAGTCTGTCTATAGTTGTGAATACTGGATTTTATTAAAGGAAAATTCGTCAAACTGGGTTCCCAGATTTCGACGAGTGGAGGTGCACTGCATTCTGGCGAAAGGAGGAATAGTGACAGTCAAAAGTGTAAATCGCCTATACGTGAACGATCTGGCTCAAGGAACGATGTTCAACCATCACTCACTGGCCTTTACAGTCACAATAACTCCTCTACTTCAAGTCTCGGTAGAAAGAAAAACAAGGCTGACAGAATTGTTGAGATTAGTAAGCCTACAGATTTTGAACATGGAATCCACGTGGAATATAATACCGAAAGTGGCAAATATTTGGTAAGTTCTTGCATAATGGATATAATGGATTTTCTTATGCTTTGATGAACGAAACATCAAGGTTTAGTTAAATTCCAATTATTATATAACTTTCAATTCTTGAATTCTTGTTTACATACATTGAATATGCAATTGATGTATACTTATTTCTATATTCTCAGGGTCTACCTGATGTTTGGGTAAATGATAAGGTCCAAAGCGAAGAGGTGCTAAATACAAAGTATCTAAAACCTTATCTTGTTCCAACCCCAGGCACTCTCGGTATGTTATTACTAACTTATAAGAACTTTAAGAATTGTTCATTGAGAGCTCTTAATTTAATCTATTTTATCTCTTAGAAACTGAGGTTACGGGAAAACAAATTGGCAATCCTTATAATTTTCAACATAAGGTTCATGTTGTTGTGGATGAGTCTGGATTTATGGTATGTTGAATTAATAATTTTTGGTTTCTTTTTTTTTTTTTTTAACATACCTATTGAATTGTTGAATATTGCAGGGTCTTCCCCCTCAATGGGAACGTTCATTGGCTCATCAACGTTCGATATCTCTGGACTCTCAAACTGTTCAACCAAATGATCATACCACGTCAAATACATTACCTCCTCCTCCGAGAAAATTCTCAAGCCCATCTTTTTGTGGTCAAACCAATCATTCGCCTGATATATATAATGATTCAAAACCTTTTCCAATACCTACCCATCGAAAAAATTCAGATGGATCTCAAAAGTCTGATAATGGTTCTATAAAATCTTATTCCATTTCTCCCTTAAATAGAGACAATAGCACGTCTCTTATGTCAAAAGCGAATCTATCCCAAGAATCAATCACTTCTGTATCTACAAGAAATTCTGCTGCATCTATTCCTCCAAAAACTCCTCCAAAAACTCCTCCAAAAGGTCTACCAAAAATTCCACAAAAAATCACTCCAAAAAAGACACTAAACATAATACCAGGAGGCCAAATACCTAAACCACCACCAAGAGATTCTCCACGCATTACTTCACCTTTATTTAAAGGACCACCTACTTCACCACCTCCTCCAACTCCACCACCAAGAGAAAGAGTTTCATCATCCGTGCAACGAAGGATTCTTAGCACTCAATATAATAATGACAATGATAACACCGATCTTTCTCACGGGCCAGCATCACCATCTCTTACTGTAACAGCTGCATCACTTAAAAAAAAACTATCAGCTCCTCAGATTCATACTTCTGGTGGACAATTTGTGGATATTTCATTATATTATCCATATGAAAAACCTAAGTCGCCTGCGCTACCTCCGCCTAGGCACACCCAAAAAATGTCACCATCACGTCCAAGCAGAGAAAATATTAACAGTTATAAAATGGAAAATATAACAGAACCAACATCTGAGGTAAAAAATTCGCCGGTTTCAAATACACCCAGGAAATTTTCAGATACCTCTCAAAAATATGTAAACCATAATAACATTACACGCGCACAAACTTTCTGTTAACGATGGACATGAATCTTTTGTCGTAGATATTGGATCATCTGAGCATTTCTGTTTTGAACAAGAACTTATAGATTCTGTTGAAAGTGTCGTATCAGATACATCAACGTGTGTTACAACAGACGAATCAACCTGAGTATTGTCCAATGTTATTATGATATCTTCTTGAAAATTATTTACTATTTCTTTGTTATTTTTCGAATTTTCTTGAGTATTATTATTATTATTAACAGTTACTTTGTTATTGTCCAAATCTTTTTGTGTTTGTGTAGAAATTATATTTACTTTCTGAGTCGATGGAGAAGTGACATTAGAATTATTTAGGTATGCCAATGATGCATGATCAATTTGTTTAGATACTATCTCACTAGAAGCTTTTTGTGCGCGTGTAATGTTATTATGGTTTACATATTTTTGAGAGGTATCTGAAAATTTCCTGGGTGTATTTGAAACCGGCGAATTTTTTACCTCAGATGTTGGTTCTGTTATATTTTCCATTTTATAACTGTTAATATTTTCTCTGCTTGGACGTGATGGTGACATTTTTTGGGTGTGCCTAGGCGGAGGTAGCGCAGGCGACTTAGGTTTTTCATATGGATAATATAATGAAATATCCACAAATTGTCCACCAGAAGTATGAATCTGAGGAGCTGATAGTTTTTTTTTAAGTGATGCAGCTGTTACAGTAAGAGATGGTGATGCTGGCCCGTGAGAAAGATCGGTGTTATCATTGTCATTATTATATTGAGTGCTAAGAATCCTTCGTTGCACGGATGATGAAACTCTTTCTCTTGGTGGTGGAGTTGGAGGAGGTGGTGAAGTAGGTGGTCCTTTAAATAAAGGTGAAGTAATGCGTGGAGAATCTCTTGGTGGTGGTTTAGGTATTTGGCCTCCTGGTATTATGTTTAGTGTCTTTTTTGGAGTGATTTTTTGTGGAATTTTTGGTAGACCTTTTGGAGGAGTTTTTGGAGGAGTTTTTGGAGGAATAGATGCAGCAGAATTTCTTGTAGATACAGAAGTGATTGATTCTTGGGATAGATTCGCTTTTGACATAAGAGACGTGCTATTGTCTCTATTTAAGGGAGAAATGGAATAAGATTTTATAGAACCATTATCAGACTTTTGAGATCCATCTGAATTTTTTCGATGGGTAGGTATTGGAAAAGGTTTTGAATCATTATATATATCAGGCGAATGATTGGTTTGACCACAAAAAGATGGGCTTGAGAATTTTCTCGGAGGAGGAGGTAATGTATTTGACGTGGTATGATCATTTGGTTGAACAGTTTGAGAGTCCAGAGATATCGAACGTTGATGAGCCAATGAACGTTCCCATTGAGGGGGAAGACCCTGCAATATTCAACAATTCAATAGGTATGTTAAAAAAAAAAAAAAAGAAACCAAAAATTATTAATTCAACATACCATAAATCCAGACTCATCCACAACAACATGAACCTTATGTTGAAAATTATAAGGATTGCCAATTTGTTTTCCCGTAACCTCAGTTTCTAAGAGATAAAATAGATTAAATTAAGAGCTCTCAATGAACAATTCTTAAAGTTCTTATAAGTTAGTAATAACATACCGAGAGTGCCTGGGGTTGGAACAAGATAAGGTTTTAGATACTTTGTATTTAGCACCTCTTCGCTTTGGACCTTATCATTTACCCAAACATCAGGTAGACCCTGAGAATATAGAAATAAGTATACATCAATTGCATATTCAATGTATGTAAACAAGAATTCAAGAATTGAAAGTTATATAATAATTGGAATTTAACTAAACCTTGATGTTTCGTTCATCAAAGCATAAGAAAATCCATTATATCCATTATGCAAGAACTTACCAAATATTTGCCACTTTCGGTATTATATTCCACGTGGATTCCATGTTCAAAATCTGTAGGCTTACTAATCTCAACAATTCTGTCAGCCTTGTTTTTCTTTCTACCGAGACTTGAAGTAGAGGAGTTATTGTGACTGTAAAGGCCAGTGAGTGATGGTTGAACATCGTTCCTTGAGCCAGATCGTTCACGTATAGGCGATTTACACTTTTGACTGTCACTATTCCTCCTTTCGCCAGAATGCAGTGCACCTCCACTCGTCGAAATCTGGGAACCCAGTTTGACGAATTTTCCTTTAATAAAATCCAGTATTCACAACTATAGACAGACTAAAAGAAATTCTATCAAGCGATGGGTGACCAGAGTGCTATGTAACCTCTAGTAAGTTGCGACTAGAGGTTTTTGTAGCCTACCGCTCGAAAAATTGCCAATCTTGGAAAAGTATCTGTGTATAAATAGATAAAACAGAAAACTAATTTCAAACTACATATTATTCCACTGGATTGATTCGTGTTCTGCATTACAAAATTCACCCTGTACTAATAAGTCCTACTCGGTCCCACGTGGGTGGTCTTACAAAAGTAGTACCGATCAAAAGGACCTTGTATATTATATATTTGGACCACTATTCAGACAATCAAGGTCTACATTTTTAATTAATCTACCAATCTAACTCGATTGCTACATGACGGCCTTTGTTTTACCTAACGAAGGTAACTTCAGAAATCATTTTTATCTTTCTTATTAACATTAAAGTGTTTCATTAAAATCAATTAAATTAGATTAATTCAATTATTGCTCTCAATAAATACATAAATAGTTTAAGAGTACGTACTAGCTTAAGAGTACTAGCTTAAGAGTACACTGTCAATCATCATTTGTCACGAGATTAAAATATATACATTCTACGGGTCTATTTCTTTAAACTGAATGATCCCATTTTTGGCAACATGTGGACATTATAATAACCGTGACGATAAATCTTTGGATGATTCGATTCGAATTCAAATTCTAAATTTACTCGTTTATTAAATAAGTTAATTTGTATAATAAATCGTCAAATGTCTGTTCTGATTTAGGTAGGACATTTGAAGTATGTACGTACAGTTCAGTACAGTCAAACCTCCCTAAATGCACCCCCTGGTGTCCATTTGCACACGTAGAGCAAAATATATAGAGCTTTTATAATGCATTTAGAAAGAATTTATATAGCGATAGAGGTTCATACGTATATATCCTTCAAGGTTTATAACCTGCTTTTAATCGTCTTTGTCTGCGCATACATTGTTCTTTTAAACTTGCTGCTTACAGTGAGGCCGGCTTCTCGAGCTATATTCTCCTATTTAATGCATAATTATTTTTAAAATATCCTTGTTATGATAACAAGTATGTACCTATCAACTTTATTCGGAATATCCATTCGTCATTTATTTTTTTGTGTATCATTTTCATAATCTAATTATGCCTTTTTCATATGTTTGAATTCATCCCTTCTTATTTTCGACATTTAATTTCTTTATCCTAATATTTTTTTGTCTTGATTTAGACCAAGCTGTTATAAGATTTTGAAAACGCTGAGTTTTAGTTTATTTTAAACGATGGCCATATCTAACTTCCTGTGTTTCTATTTCGGCTATTAATATACATACTTTTCTTTTTAAAGTCTTATTGTCACACTTCCAAATGCACAAGTTTCGACAATAACCTGGTTGTTCAGTAACACAACTAAATTTAGTATTACAACAATTCATAATAATGATGATTTGTTTATAAAAATTCTATTTATACATTATAGTCCAGATTACACAGATTATATACGTAGTATGGTACGAATTACCAGAGTTAGTTAGTATAGTTTTTAATAAAAATTGACTTGTATACACTATATAAGGTGTTTCGCAGACCATCATGGTATGGATGAGCAGATCAAAAAAAACTATACCAAATTAGCGTTAGGGTTAGGGATTATAGCTGATCAGTACGGTCAGTGTTTAAAATTCGAATGTGCGAATCCAATCAAATCTCCTGATTTTTGAAATCAACCGATTCGCATATTCGAATTTTAGACTGAGTATGGGTATAAGTATGACCAGATTAGTCCGATATTATATATTAGGGTTAGGATTAGAAATTATAGCAAATTAAATGTTTAAAATAGGTACTGTATATAGATATCATCTAAATTAGTTTTTAAAAAAAGCCTATTTCATCTTCATTAAAGTAAATTAAAATTTTTTATATAAAAGAACAAATCTAATTTATGTATTTATGTTTTTATAATTTTTATCTATTCATCTTTTAAATAAAATAAAGCAAAAATAGGGATTGAACTCGGGTAGAAATTGTTACTATATGATTACCTGAAATACAGTATATATTAACTTACTCGGATAACCCGGGTAATTTAATAAGGGTCCGTATAATTTCACTGACAATCACTTCACAAACAGCTTATTTAGCCAATATCATGCTAGGTGAAATTTAGTAAAATATATATCTGTAATTAATCAAATGCTTAACTCTAACCCTATGTGATGTCAGCTAAATAAGCATTTAGTAAAATAATTGTTGATAAATTGATTGAAACCAATTTAATAATATCTGAATAAAGATTTTTTCAACAAGTTTAATCTCTAAGCAATCACAATTGTTTTCAAATTTTAATTTTAAATATTAGAATTTAAAATAATTTTATTTATATATAGTAGAAAAACAGATTATTGAAAAAATTTATACAAGCTAAATGTATATTAAACAAACAACCAAAAATAATAGTTAATTTTTTTTTTATCAAAATTAATATTACTTTATATGCTGTAACAAAAATTGTAAAGCTCATCAAGATGTATCTAATAGTAGTAAGAATATTAAAATCTGCCTGGTAGTTCTTAAGAAATCTTTAAAAAACTTCTTGCTTATATATAAAATTTCTTTAAAAAAATTTGATTTTTTTAAAGAATTTTTATATTAGTAAAATGTTTTTTAAAGATTTTTTCAAGAACCACAAGGTTGATTTTAATGTTTTTACTACTATTAAATATATTTTGATGAGCTCTACAACTTTTGTTAGAAGCCCAAAAGTAATTTACTTAGTAAAAATAAGGTTTAAATTGAAGTGTTCCACATTTGGCTCAATAGTAAAAATTATTTATAAAAATTTGTAGATCTTTTTCAAATGAGAAATAGATTATTTATTAAACTTTCTTTTATAAATCAATTTGACATTAATACTAATAATTTCTTTTTTCTTACAAAGGCTGGTGAGAAATCCTTGATAGGGTATCGATGTTAGTATGTATGAGATCTTTTCTATAATAAATTATGCACAGATATTCTGTAGCAATCATAATCTACTATACAAGTTTACTGGTAGATTAGAAATTGTTTAAAAGCTATTTTAAAGCTTGATAATTGATTACTAATTCAAATTCTTTACTATATATGTAGAGACAAAAATATTGCATAGTCCAAATAGTGGCCAAATATTCAATTTTGGTAGCAGAATAATTTTTTTTTAAATTGTTTAACTCTCTACTTGCATATATCACTATATACTTTTTATTACTGTTGTTTTTTTGGACTAAAATAGTATTTAAGCCCATATACAAAGTATTAATATGTAAGATAAAGAGCTTATTAAAGTCAGAATAATATAAAATAAAGACTGTTATTAGCTTTGTTTCAATTTTTTTGAAAGTTTCTTAATATTGGTCACCTCATTTATACAAGATATTTTTCTTTAAAAATAAGTAAAGCAGGTGTATGATCTTTAAAAAATTTTCTACAAATTTTTAATAATATGAAGCCAAGCCTATAAAGCTTTATAATTCAGTCAAATTCATTAGAATGAAAAATTTTTGTATCTTTTTTTACTTTAATAGGGTTAGAAATAATACCTATTTCACTTATAAGATAATTTAAGAATGACAACTGCTTTTTAAAGAACTAATATTTGTTTTTATTAAGTCATAACCCAGTAGTTCTTAGTAGATCAAAGACTTGTCAAAGATAAATTAAGTACTTTGCAAAAGTTTTTGAATATATATTTATATTGTCAAGGTAAATCAAAACAAACTTTTCATTTACTAAATACAATACTTTATTTATTAGTTGTTAAGGTATTAGTTTGCTTAAATAGCATTACCAAGAATTTGTATAATCTATTTTTTGTAACAAAGA